TTTCTTGAGCAGCAAATCAGCATATTAGAATGATTTCTGAAGATCATGTGACACTGAAGACTGGAGTAATGATGCTGAAAATTCAGCTGCGCATCACAGAAATAAATTACAGTTTAACAGATATTCACATAGAAAACAGCTGTTTTACATCGTAATAATATTTCACAATCTTTACTGCATTTTTGATCAAATAAATGCATATGTATATGTGTGTGTACACTGAAAAAAAAGATTTGTTGGATTTACTCAATTGAATTATGGACATTGGTTCCACACATTCAGTTTGAGTTCAGAGTGTCCTACGCATTTATGTGGTTTCATTATAATACTTTTGTGTTAATCAGATATATGGTGAGGAAGAAAGATCTTTCTCAAGATGAAAAGCATGAAACAATGCAATGTTTTGCAAAAGGCATCAAAACAAACAATATTTTGCAAAAAGCAAATAGAGATTATTGAACTGTGCTCTAAGTCACTCACAAATCTTTTGACAGAGTATTTTGGTCAGATAAAGATTTATTAAGGAAAGTTTCTGTCAAACAAATAAATTGTATTATAGGCTATATTATAGGTGTTTGGATGTATGTTATATGAATGTGTGTGTATGGGTGTATACAGTACATCTACATGTCATATGTAGTCAGTTAATTAGTTAGCCGATTACTTTGTATACAATAATCTCAAACGATGGCTGTATAAACCCTGTTGTCTACACTTACAACTGCAGTATATAATGTACAGGCTGGCTAGGGCTGTCGCGGTGAGGGAATTTCCCTTGCGGTAATTTTGGCTGGCTATTAATGTTCCCTGTTTGTTTAAAGCGAATAAATTAGACGCTCTCAGGCCTGAGATGAGTTCAGATACCAGAATAGATGCACAGCTGCAAAGTGGCAAAGATTTACCGTTCTTACCATTCTGAGTTTGACGCTCAAAGACGACGAGATCAACAGAGAGACGCTTCAGTGCAATTAGCAACCACTGCTGATCATTTACTAACCCCTCAACCCTTATGTCTTCAGTGTTTCTGTTCTGGGTTTGGACCATTTAAAAATATGAATGTCTCTTCTGCTCACTAGAGCAGAAAATACAGTCAAAATAGTGAAATATTTTTATGATGTGAAATATGTTTTCTATGTGAATATCTGTTAAAGTGTAATTTATTCCTGTGATCAAAGCTGTATTTTCAGCATCATTACTCCAGTCTTCAGTGTCACATGATCTTCAGAAATCATTCTAATATGCTGATTTGCTGCTCACGAAACATTTCTGATTATTATCAATGTTGAAAACCGTTATTTTTGTGGAATCTGTTATGCATTTTATTTTTCAGGATTCACAGATGAATAGAAAGTTCAAAAGAACAGCATTTATTAGAAACCGAAATCCTTTGTAACATTATAAATGTCTTTAATGTCACTTTTGAATGAAAGAAATTTAATAAATTTTCAGATCAGATACAGAAACTTTGAAACACAGAAACTCAGATGGCTTCATTGCAAACCACCAAAATAAAAGTTTGGTTTAACTTGAAGAAATTATGACTAAAAATATTACTATTTATAGTAAACATTGTACTATTAATATTAAAACACTGTTGTGCAGCACTTTATTAGACAAAAATAAAATAAAATACAAAAATCATGATGTTCTGTTGTATTTTTATTTGTTTTACATTTTAAAAGATTAAAGATTTCTAAAAATATTGATAAAAAGTTTTATGATCTCAATTGATTAGACGTGATTTGATTATTAAAATTGATTTAACCCATTCATTTCATAGTATTAATTAGTATTATTAGATTTTATAGTATTAATTATGACGTTTTGCACCTTTTTCCGAATCTTTTGAAGTCACATAACGGAACAGACAAAAATATCATTCAATGCAAACCTCTTTTTGCATGTGTGTTTTTGCAGTCCTACAGGTTCAGAAGCACATGAGGGTGAATAAATGATGAGTGTATTTCATCTTTAACCCTGTTCTGCTCCAGCGGCGTCTCGATCCGCACTCCAGACTGAAAGTCCCTCATAAGTCGTCTCCTCAGTCTGTTATATTCAGAGTTTGGCTTTACTCTCGGTGAGTGTCTTTAATGTGTTTGTAGCCTTGAGCTGCTCGCCGTAATGGAAGCTGCTTTTATGCTCATCTCTGCTGATAAAACTACACCGGCTTTTCCCAGGAGATCCTGTTTTTCCCTCATCTCTCAAACCCACATCTTCTTTTGATAAATGTGCTATAATGGAGGCCTTGTTGTGAAATCGCTGTCGGGTCGCTGCATTTCTGAAGCCAGGCTTCTGTGAGGTAACGGGATTCATACAGATACTTTCTCCGGTTAGCAACTCACTTAGTTTGCTGCCCTCTGGACCCACGGCAGAAAACAGAGCAATAAACAGACAGGAGATAAATCACAGATGACTGCAAAACACAGCAAACAAATGGAGACGAACAACCTGCACTCATGAGCTCCGGGGGATTTCCATCATCTTAAGCTCACAGACAGGCTTTTATGTGACAGATTTCAGATATTTCAGCTGTTTTCCCGTCTTCTGATTGGTCAGTCCAGTGCTCCATTGATTATAACATTCATTAAATAGTGATGTACCCTTTAATGTTGTTATTATGTAACAAAAGCAGTAACATACTCTAGGCCTTGTTGCTTTGACAACATTCACAATGTAACACTGGGTCATTCGTGTCTCCAATTTTTAATGGAGAAAGACTAACATAAATAGTGATGAAAGCCAAAATATGGATGTATGTTTACTGAGTAATCCACTATTTTGTAGAGGAGGGTCAAAATGGCAATTTTCACCTGAGATTCGGAGCCAAATTACAGGAGGGTCAAAATGAGTTCAGAAAGATGGCAGCATCACAATGTTATTTTCACACAGAGATTGGTAGCTCTGTTAGTCAAATCTGTTGACTTTAGCAATCTGTGTTGCATTATGTGCCAATGGTGACCATTCAAAAATGGGGAAAAACACTTCCCCCAAAGTTTGCATGCCTGTAACTTAAGAAGTATTAAAGATATCTTAATATTCTTTAAGATTTTGGTTGTTAACAAACTTTTCATTTGGTATCACCATTTTTAAGGTCCTGTGTGGTTGATTTCCAGGGATATTGGGATCTAAATATGGCTCCAAGAGTAAAATTGTTCAATTGTAGCCATTTTCAGTGGTCAAAAACCAAATGTGGGTCACTTTGCATTCATCTGATTTTTATTGTATTTAAAGAGGAATGTCTGAATAACAAATAATGTTGAAACTAGGGTTGGAAAGGGGTGGAACATTTCTGGAAAATTTCCGGAAACTTTCCAAAAATTCCTGGAATATTTCAAAAAAAATCCTGGTAAGTTTCCAAAATTTACTGGAAATTTGCCACCTTTTTGCAACCCTAGTTGAAACTAGAGATGTACCTTTTTCCCAAAGTTTGCATGTCTGTAACTCAAAAAGTATTAATGACACCTCAGTATGGTTTTAAATTCTGGTTCTTAGTAAACTTTTCTTCTGATCTCTTTATTTTTAAGGTCCCATGAGGTTCATTCCTTAAGATATGAGGATCCCAATGCGGCTCCATGTGCAGTTTCATTCATTGTTCATTTCCAGGGATATTGGGATCTAAATATGGCTACAAGAGTAAAATTGTTAAATTGTAGCCATTTTCAGTGGTCAAAAACCAAATGTGGGTCACTTTGTATACAACTAGGGGTGTAACGTTACACACATTCGTTTCCGAAATTTTCCCACGACAGATCGCTGTATAGAAGCCTCAGTTCTAACAGCAGCGCGAATCCTCTTTATTACTAGTTTTAATGTGAAATAAACATGAATGAACATCTCACCCCTCGTGTAATCGCTCAATCAGTGTTTCAACCGTCATTAAAACAATTTGTAAACAAAATGTCACGTAGCATTTCACCTCAGGCAAATCATCAGTGTCCACAGCTCGTTATTTGCTAGAGAAACTAAGTCTAGTGAAGAGCATTTTCTTGCTAAATATATTAGACTGTACTTCATTAGATTTACTTTACCTGTTAGTGATGTCTTTATTTAATGTAGGCTATATGTTTAAATAAATATTTTATGAAACAACAACAACAAATAGAAAATGTATAATTTAGAAGCTAATTTAAAAACAATTTACATGTTTGCATTTTTTAATTTGAGTGTTGATTATTATAGTTAAAAATAAATAGTAATTGAATTTAAGTTTGGGCTCTGTTGTTAATTGTAACTTTATGTAGGCTATATGTTTAAATAAAAATTTTATGAAACAACAACAACAACAAATAGAAAATGTATAATTTAGAAGCTAATTTAAAAACAATTTACATGTTTGCATTTTTTAATTTGAGTGTTGATTATTATAGTTAAAAATAAATAGTAATTGAATTTAAGTTTGGGCTCTGTTGTTAATTGTAACTTTATAGAAATGTAAAATCTGAGGTAGATTTTTAAACCTAAGAAAATGTAAATTGTAATTGCATTTTTTTTAAAGAATGAGCAATTAGTTCAGTAAACCATTGTTTAATTTCTAAACAAAAAAGCAATTTATGTTTAGTTTTTTTTCCTCCTGCTGTACTGAAACCATATCGAACCGTGACGTCAAAAATGAGGTGCGTACCGAACCGTCATGTTTGTGTACTGTTACACCCCTATATACAACTGATACTTATTAAATTTAAAGAAGCTGAGATGTCTTTACTGTCACTTTTGATCACTTTTTTTTTCTTTTTATTCTGCGTTTGTGAACGAGTCGGACAGGTGATGTGTGTGTGTGTGTGTGTGTGTGTGTGTTTATTCATTCTGAGAGCAGCAGAGATCGGCGGTGAGATCGATGAGCCGCTGAGAGATTGATTAATGCTGTCATGTGCTCCAAACGCATCCGTCCCGTGGACGCAGAGGTGCAGCTTCTGTCTGCCGTTGCGTCCGGTTCAGAAAGGCCTCCGCCTGTGATTCAGCGTCTGATGGACTCCTCTGAACGGGTTTGTTTCTTGTTGCAGATCCCTGAAGGCTTCAGCGACCCGTAGAGCTCAAACTGCACCATGCTGGCGTGTCTGCAGAGACAGAACCAACCGGCCCAACACCAACACCAACACCAACACCTCACGTGTGCTGCGAAGATCCTGGACGTGCCGCTCAATCACAGGAGTAAGTCTGGCACGGCTGGTTAGATGTAGCTTTTTGAGATGGTTAAGTTTTGGATAAATGGATACATTTATTTAATTTTTTTATTTGCTTATTTTGCATTTATTTTTATTTACTTATTATTTCTGTGCTCTATTTATTTACTTACACACTTATTTACGTTTTTATTTACTTATTTTTCATTTTAATTATACATTTATTTATTCATGTATTAATTTATTTAAAAACAAGCCCTGTCTTTTTATTACCTTTTTTAAGTTTTTTACTATTTTTATTTTATTTCTAATATATTTTTTTCTATTTCTTTTTTTTTTTTTTACTAAAAATCTAAAAATGCACAAAGTTTCCTGTGAGGGCTGAGTTTCTGTTTTTTTTTTATTCATTTATTTTTTTACTTACTTTTATTTTAATATATTTTAAATATTTTAAGTTTTTAAAATTTTTATTTATATTTTAGATTTATTTTTTATTTATACATTAAATATATTACTTATATATATAAAAATAAGCCCCATCTTAACACTTATTTACTTATTTTTATTTATTTTATTTTTTAATGTACTTCATTTTTTATGAAAAAAAAATTATTAATTATTTAAAAATAAGCCTTTTTTCAACACAATGAGTATTATTATGTTCGTCTGAGAGTTTCAGATGTGGCATAGTTTTGTGGTGAGAAAGGAAAAAGAGCAAATGCGGCAGAGCAAGAGATGGGAAAAGTAAGCTAAAGAAAGATAAAAGGAAATAAACTTGAAAGAAAACCAAATGCATAAAAGGGCAGAAAGCGAGTGAGATTAAAGTGCTTCATTGGAGGTGGAAGAAAGAACAGCCTGGTAAATTGAATTTTCAGGGTAACCTTTGATTTTCATGGCTTAACCTCATCGAGCGGCTCATAGATCTCCATCCAGCAGATGGATTTTCATCCATTAGGAGAGCAAGAGAGGTGTATGCGTTTTCATTTGGCTCTTCTTAAACTCTCTGTCCTACTTCCATGCGGCTGTTTGCTGGAGAAGAGCTGCTGGAAACTCGTCTGTCAGCGTTCAGACTTCAGATAAGACGTTCACCTTGAGAGGCACGCTTCCTATCATCTGCAGGAGCTCCATACGGCCCTCATCAAACACGTCCATCGCAGCGGTTTAATTGAATCTGCGAGCGCATTGATCAGGTTCATGTCGCTTCCGTCCAAGGGCAGATCCAGACTCAAATGTACTCGGATATTCATTCATATATTTATATTTATAGCCGCTCTTTAGTGTAGATGCATGTTGATTTTAAAAGACGATGTTGTGATTATAAATCAGGATTTAAAGAGTAAAGTGAGAGTGACTCCTGGTTAACATGCATTTAGTGTTTAGTGTATTTAGTGTGGAATTTTTCTACAGTATTCACTCATCATGACAGTACCGTGAAACCGGGATCATTTTGAAAAATACCGTGATATAATTTTTTGGTCATACCTCCCAGCACTGATCTGTATATGTGTCACTTTGAGAATGGGACTGATTTTTTTTAATTTTTTTTTATAACATTTTAGAAAGTAGTTAATAAAGGAGTTTACGAAAGATGAAATTATACTGATAAAATCTTTATAATCTAAATTCAGTGCAGTTTCACTTTTTCCACTTTTCCATTCGGCTCTTAGACTCAAAAGGCTAAAATGTCAAAATGTTAACGGAATATTCTTGGGTAATGGTTAATGACATGTAGATGTAGATTACTGTGCATTTGTTTATTTATGGATTTATTTATTTATTTTTGCATTTATTTATGCATTAATGCATTTATGTATTTGAGCCTTTATTTATGCATTAATATAGGCATTACATTTTTTTCATAATTGTTATTTATTTATTTTTGCATTTATTTATTTATGCATTAATGCATTTATTTATGCATTGATGCATTTATGTATTTGAGCCTTTATTTATGCATTAATATAGGCATTACATTTTTTTCATTTGTGTTATTTATTTATTTGTATTTATTATTTAATGCATTTATTCAAAGCTTTAATTTGAGCATTTAAGTATCTACGCTTTCATATGAGGATTTATGCATTTATTTTTCAAGAATTATTTATACACTTATTTAGGCATTTAACCATTTATTGTATGCTTTACACATTTATATTTATTTAAGTCTCAGTCCTCATTAATGAGCTGAGGGTTTATTAGACTCATCTGTTTTAATTTAATTTTGTTCTATTTATTCGTTCATAAATGTGCTTTTGTTTTGTTGAACTGCTGAACAGTGTTTAATGTGGAAAAACACTACTGAGCGACTGCTTGAGGCGACGATGTCCTGAGATCTGTGGAAACGACATGAATCCACATGTGAAGCTAGATTTGTTTGATATTATGATGGTTTTTTGTGGAATTGTGGAGTTTGTAAGCCGCTCTTCTAGTGCAGTTCAGACCTCATTGTCTGTTGTATGAAATATTCATCTGCAGCGAGAGCAGCGCTTGTCTGCTAAACGCCGGAACAGAAGGGCCGCATGTAGCCCGTGGCGCCGCTGGAGGGGAACATCGCTCACGCTTCGGGCCCGTGACCCTCATCATCATCATCTGCCTCTCGTTTGATCTCTGGAGGTTTAAAACAGTTGAATCTGTTCTGTTGGAAATGCATGCATGCAATGGAGGCCAAAATGATTCAAACACTAGTATTCTCAGCAGCTAAAAAGGGTTTTAAGTCAGTTATTTCCATCTTTTGCTGTAGTGTGTCGGTAGGAAATATCAGTTTACATTTCCAAACATTAATTTAGCCATTAATTGTAACTAGATAAAAAAAAGTTTGTCAAGACAAACTTTAGGTTGGCTTGAGAAAGCCTAGCCTGAAAGTTTAAAGCAGTTGTAAAAGCCTGAAATTTGAAAATTTAGATAGATTAGATAGATGTTGATTACATGTTTCTAGCATGATTAGCATGTTTTAACATGATTGGCCTGTTACTAGCATTTTGCTGGCATGATTAGCACGTAACTAGCATGTTGCTAGCATGATTAGCAAAGTTACTAGCATGTTGCAAGCATGGTTAGCATGTTGCTAGCATGATTAACAAGTAACTAGCATGTTACTAGCATTTTGCTGGCATGATTAGCAAGTAACTAGCATGTTGCTAGCATGATTAGCAAAGTTACTAGCAGTTGCTAGCATGGTTTAGCATTTTGTTAGCATGATTAGCATGGTGCTAGCATGATTAACAAGTAACTAGCATGATTTTAGCATTTTTATAGCATGATTAGCATGTTACTAGAATGTTGCTAGCATTATTAGCAAGTAACTAGCATGTTGCTAGCATGATTAACAAGTTACTAGCATGTCGCTAGCATTTTTATAGCATGATTAGCATGTTGCTAGCATTATTAGCAAGTAACTAGCATGTTGCTAGCATGATTAGCCAGTTACTAGCATGTTGCTAGCATGTTTCTAGCATGTTTCTAGCCCCAGAGCAGCGGTACTGAATATAGCTTTGTCATTTTAAACCCGTATGCTATTTTTGTGAAGAATCCAGAATTGTTTACGTAGATCCTATTCATAGTGACCATGACCCTTCATAAGCTGAACTATTCCTTATGTTCCTTATATCTGTTCTTTGCCTTTGTGTTTTAGTTCTGCTGTTTCTCTCTGATGTAATTGTTTTGAAGAACATGTTATCCTCCCACACAGATGATCCTCAGGTTCAGCTCTTCAGCGCTCGCCTGATGTTGCTGATGTGATTACACAGATCAGATCATCAGAACCTTTCATCAAAACTGCTTTTTCCTCAGTAATCACTACAGCAGTTACATGTCGAGTAGCTGTTGCTGAAGATTAAGGTTACAGTATGTTTGTGCCACTGCTAATCGTCAGTAATGCTCCCTAGAAAGTCATGATGGTTCTGATCAAGCTGTTTATCATTAGAACGTTCTAGTGTACTGAAAAAGTTAAAACTGTAACAATATCTATAAATACAGTAATAACTAATGATAACTGTAACTATAATCATAATTATAATTATAATTACAATAATAACAATATCTATACAATAAGTATAACGATATCTGTAAATACAATCATAACTATAATGATAACTGTAAGTACAACCATATCTATAACAATACCTATAACTATGACAATATCTATAAATACAACCACAACTATAATAACTATGACAATTATAACAATAACTGTAACTACAAACATAACTATAAATACAACCATAACTATACCGATATTTGTAAACATAACAATAACTATAAATACAACCACAACCATAATAACTATGATATCTATGAATACAACCATAACTATAACAATAACTGCAACTACAATCATTACTAAAAATGCAGCATAACCATACCGATACTTGTAAACATAACAATAACTATAAATATAATATAACTATAATGATAGCTATGAATGCAACTATATACAATAACTATAAATATAACCATGACTATACCGATAATTATAAACATAGCCATAACCATAAATACAACTATAAACATAACTAACTATAATGATATCTATGAATACAACTATATCTATAACGATACCTATAACTGTGACAATATCTATAAATACAATCACAACTATAATAACTATGACAACTATAACAATAACTGTAGTGATAACTGTAACTACAAACATAACTATAAATACAACCATAACTATACCGATATTTGTAAACATAACAATGATTATATAACATAACTATAAAGATAATATAATTATATATATAATTATATACCGATAACTATAGACATAGCTATAACTATACCGATAATTTAAAAAACAACTATAAATACAACTATTTCAATAAATATAACATCTATATAACAACTATAACTATGAATACAACCATATCTCTAACGATAACTGTAACTACAACCATAACTATACTGATAAAAATAGAATCATAACTATACCGATAACTATAACTACAACCATAACTATGAGTATAAAATAACTATAATGATAACTATGAATACAACTATAACTATACAGATATCTATAAATACAAGCAT